GGCATTTAAACAGAGATTATATGGTTTTAGGGATGCTTTTGCTGTGGATTTTCTGCTTTGGCAGGGGACTGGACTCAGTGACACCTGCAGTACCTTCCATCCCTAGCCTTCAATACTATGGATTTATAGATTTAAATATGAGAATGTTTGGATTTTCAGAGAGGGCTTTTCTGCATTTGATATCCTAAAAATTCAATATATGTCTGTAGTTTCTGACCATTCAACCCTTTCCCCCCCTACTGAGCTGTAGAGTCCACATCCACTATGGCACCACAACACAACCACAAATTGCTCCAGAACAGGGAGTTTACACATGGACTTTTGCTGTGGTACTTGCATTAGTTACATACCGATTCTTACATTACATGATGCATTATTTATATTATGCATTGTATGACAATCTTAAGAAGTGTTAGGGCTTAGAAGACAGAAACAACTTCAACATTATCCATTCAGCACTGTCTGAGGCTTTATGTATTCTTATCCTGAGGTGTAATATCACTGGAATAAATGCATGAATAAAAGAGTAGCATTCATTTAAATGTATACAGAATTCCATTATGACCCATTTTGTTTTTATATAGGCTTGCTAGTAATATTTTTGAATATTTGCTATGAGATAATACAAAAGACTAATAGATGGTTTTGGTTCCTCTGAGAATTGGTAGCTCCTGCAAAAATGCTATAATAATTTGTCATTAGTGTTATACTTGTACTAAGCATTATGATACTGCTAAATGAGGACATTTATGCTTCTAACACTTAGTGGAATATTTATATTCTGTAAATATCACCATGTAGCATATGTACTTTTTAGTATGTCTATAGCAGAGGTTGCAGTATGTTGAACCTAGAATAATAATTCACTATATTAAAATTCTGGCTTTCAGGTGCTTGAATACTGTTAGTGAATAAATAATCTATATTCAACTACCAATCAATAAAAACTGAGCAAATAATCATGTTATTGAAACCTCAGTAGTTACCTGTTTTGAAATACTACAAGAAATGTACAATTTAAATTAAACTTAGTAGGTACTGTTAGAAAAAAAATTAGCTATCTAATATTTTCTCCACAGTACCTGCAAAAGAAATTCACATAATTTATAGGTCTGCTAATTACTCTGTGAAAGGTACGTGGGTTAAATCGCAGAGCGGTCGAAAGTTCAGCTGTTCGAATCCACATGACGAAACTAAAGGATCTTCCAAATTAATTTTTTCAGACTACAGTACCCACTCGATATGTTTAAAGAACAAATTTACCTGAAAAGACAAATCGTCATCGTTTAGTCATATCCGACTCTTCGTGACCCCATGGACCAGAGCACACCAGGCCCTCCTGTCTTCCACTGCCTCCCAGAGTTGTGTCAAATTCATGTTGGTTGCTTCGATGACACTGTCCAGCCATCACATCCTCTGTCGTCCCCTTCTCCTCTTGCCGTCACACTTTCCCAACATCAGGGTCTTTTCCAGGGAGTCTTCTCTTCTCATGACATGGCCAAAGTATTGGCGCCTCAGCTTCAGGATCTGTCCTTCCAGTGAGCACTCAGGGAGGATTTCCTTTAGAATTGATAGGTTTGTTCTCCTTGCAGTCCAGGGTACTCTCAAGAGCCTCCTCCAGCACCACAATTCAAAGGCATCAATTCTTCGGCAGTCAGCTTTCTTTATGGTCCAGCTCTCACTTCCATACATCACTACAGGAAAAACCATAGCTTTGACTGTTCGGACTTTTGTTGGCAAGGTGATGTCTCTGCTTTTTAAGATGCTGTCAAGGCTTGTCGTTGCTTTCCTCCCCAGAAGCAGGCGTCTTTTAATTTCGTGGCTGCTGTCACCCTCTGCAGTGATAATAGGGCCCATATCTTCCCCTTCTGTTTACTAGGAGGCGATGGGACCAGTGGCCATGATCTTTGTTTTTTTTG